ACGTATATGTGAGTAATGGCAATTTTGGAAAGAAAAAAACAAGAGTCAACTAGAACGGCAATATTCCTACATTAAATAATGCATTGTTGATGCCCTAACTCATCAAGCCAAATTTGTCACGGGCCCGTGAAGGGAATACCTGATATCTGCAGGTATGGGAATCATAGCCTAGGTGCTCGGCTCGATGAGGCAGCAGTGTACGTACTTCTAGGGCCTTGAGAAACAGGGCCTGGTGTAAAATGCACACTTGGACTGGAACCAAGTGAAATCGGTCAACCAGAAAGATAAGGAACGGAACTACGGGACCATGAGAGGATCCGGATTGTAGGCCCGAGTCGGATTAGCTGATCGAGAGGGAGTCGAAGTGAATTGCAGGTGTGATGAGGCCACACTATATTTGCCACAAAAAGGCACAGATTTTGACGAGTGGAATTTAAATAAGTCAAAAGTTGTGATAGAGCGGGAGTTAGCTAAGAGGGTAAAGAGTAGATAGATAGGCCAGAACAGAAAGAGAAGTGATAGTGTAAGCGTTTTGGACAGAAAGTTTGTCAAGGGATTGATTTTACTTGCCTGGTGCCGACTACGATGCTGACACAGTTCTCTTTCTGTCGTGGCCTATCTATCTACTCTATATCCTCTAATCCTACTTCCGCTTAATCACAACTTTTCACTTGATTACATTCCACTCATCAAATTTGTGCCATTTTGTAGCAAATCTAATGTGGTCTCATCACACTTGCTATTCACCGCGACCACCTCTCTTTCTATCAGCTTATCCGGATCAGTGCAATCCGGATCCCCTCGTTGCCTGGTAGATCCGATCCTTCTCATTCTGGCTGACCAATTTCATTCGGTTCCAGTCCCAGTCTGCGTTTCACTCCAGGCGGTATTTCTCATGGCCCTAGAAGCACGTACACTGCCGTTTCACTGAGCTCTGATTGCCATGCTTGTAGATATCAGGCCGTCCCTTAACGGGCCGTCTCCTTGATCAAACCCCTGTTATCTCTCTTGTCTCTCTGACGAGTTCGTAGCTTGGTGCGGAGAATGGCAAAGCTCACTGATGAGGCCGAATACGATGCCGGAGAAACGTTTGAAAATGTATCCAAGTCCATTGTCTAATGCTGGGAATTATGACAACTACTATGGAAGACGACTTCCATACTAGTCGCCCTGACAACGAGATCAAGTTGCGACAAAGAGGTCAAACCCATTTCTATTAAGTTGCTGTTTTTATAAGAAAAGAAAAAAGCAGCTCACCTTAGGATCGACAATGTACGATGGCGGGAGATAGGCGACACTAGGATCAAAGCGGCATGTCGTCATGTAGACACCATTAGTCAGCTGCAGAAGTTGTGCCATTTTGTACAAATATTGGTTAGAAATAAGTTTAATGCGTGCTAACGTTAGTTTGCCCTCATCCGCATCCTTTTCTAAACGACTATAGACGGAAATTGTGACGGCGTATTTGAGGAAAGCATCACCAAGAAATTCCAGTCGTTCCAAATTCACAGCGTCCTTGGCAGAGAGAAAAGTCGTCGCTTCAATTAAATGCGAAGGACTGGGAACGACAGATTCATCTAATAAAATAAGGAAATACAAGATGTCACAAGAGCAGAGGACAAAATTGAACTAAGTGATAGAAAAGTATGTGACTGCTTACACGACCTATTAGGATGTCCCTATAGACACGAGTTGAGTCTATTTCCAGGCCTCGCATTAACTACATATTTTTGGCATATACGCCAACATTTGCATTACAATCAATGCATGGAAAAATGAATAAGAGTAAATGAAGGTTGGCCCATCCTTTTGTTTCCTTTCTATATCGATCTATTTAGTTTTTTAAATCTATTTTAGCTCAATTGAGTCTATATAAGAAGTAAGATAGAGCCGGATGGTGTCTTGCCCTAATGCTAACGCGAGACTATTACAATGACACCTAGCCCTGATAATGTTCGTCATATAACGAAAGCTTAGTACCTTTTCACCGGGATCGAAGGAGATTACCTCGGAAGCAGCGTCACCATGAATGCTCCAGTAAAGCCAATCGACAGCTAATCAAGAGTAATCCGCAGTCGCCTTTTGGTAGAATCGACCTTCGAATCTCTTAC